AGAAATACATCCATTATCAAAGGAATCTATTATTCTCTGAACAAAATCAAGAACTGCCAAAGTTGTATTTCGTTTTTTCCTAAAACCAAATTGATAATCAAACAAAAGGTGATTACACTCTAAATGATTTGTTAAACTTTCACATACAATTTTTCAAAAATTTTTGAAAATGTCGGAAGTAACGATATCGGTCTAAAATTAGATATTAATTCTAATTCTATTAATCGAATTAGATGGTGTCACCCTCCAGTCATGTAACCATATTGTTGCTTCTGAATATATATGAAATATTTAGCCATATCATAGTTAATAAGTTAATAAGTTAATATTAAGTGTGTTAAGTTAGAGCTATGAATAGCACGTAGTCTAGGACACTTACTTTGATAACAAGAACTAGCTAGGGTGACGCCATAGAGCTAACTCTATGGTGTCACCCTCCAGTCATGTAACCAATATTGTTGCTTCTGTATATATGTGAAATATTTAGCCATATCATGGTTAATATTAACTATGGCCATATACAGCACGTAGTCTAGGGCACCGACCCTGATAACGAGAATTAACTCTATTGATGTTGTTACCCTGACCCTACGGTCATGTAATCAATATTGAATCGGACATGTGACTGTGAAGGAATGAGATGAAGAGTACCTGATCTAGTTCATGGTATATTGCAAAGACATTAGTCAGTTTTACTGTATTATTTTAACTAATATTTATTCTAATCTAGGGAAGGATGCAGGGGTTGACTGTTTGGGTGGAGGGTAACACTGTGTTCAGTTTGATGAAGTCCCTAAGTTCCATTCTTCTATCCAAGAATGCTAATAACTTTCCAATAACTACATTGTAGCGCTAGCTAAGTAACTTTAACACCCAAAGTTCAAAGAAAGAAACTGAAAGACTTGTAACTACCTAGCCGTGCATGGGATTGTGGGAGTAAATGTGGGGAACATATCGAAAAGCTCCACCATCTTACGTCCCCCATTCAGCCCCATAATCCTTTTCACTTTAAGGAGGTTACAAGTCTTTCTTCAACTTTAGAAAAGTGAGGTCAACTGACCGTATAACTCGTAGAATTAAATACAAACAAGTTTTTTCTTTAGATATAGAGGGGTTTTACGACAGCCATGTTGTAGGGTAGGAACAATACAATGTCTTTATCTGACAAGAGATTTCATTTCTCAAAGAAGAACATTCATATTGCTGTTCGTTACAACTTGTCCGCCGTTAAGCCCCTCTGTTGGTTTTATTTCGAAACAAAAATATACAAAAATATAATATTCACACTTTATATTCGTTAGGTTTTACAAGCCAATGCTTCGTATAAAAAGTTGTAGAAAATAAATAGTGATGAAAATAATTGCGTTGCTCATATCATGGCTTTGAGTTTGTTTTTGTTATTTTGACTTTATTAGTAAATTAGTTAGTTATTGAATTACCTTGAAGTGTTAGTTTAGTTCTTCATTTTATCTATTATTAAATATTTAACAAAAATATAATAGATTGTCGTCCTT